AGAAGATGTTTTTCCAGACGCCAAGAAAAATTAAATGCCAAATCCACCCTGCAAAGTGTGTCACTGAGAGTTTAAAACATAAATTATTATTGTGCAAATACTGGTGTATTCACCTTTAATACTAGTTATTACAATGCAGCAGTTGCTGGATTGGTGCAGTTCAAAGTGGAGTGCATCAAATAAAACAATATTAACATAAAGGTGAGACGTGTCATACCCCCCCCCCCCCCCCCCCCCCCGCCAACACCACCACAGCTGGAAAAATTCCTAGGGGAAACACTGCACACTTTCAGATATTCTCATGGTGCAGCTGTGTTCTCCAAAGATCAAGGACTATGACCCAAATGAGGCTGTAATGCTTTGGCACAAAGACGGTGTCAGAAGCAGGAGGCCAGATTTCATGGACAGAGAAAACAAGGAATCTGACTAGATTTCAATGAAAGAGTTCATAAAAACATCTCTTAAATAAATAAGTAGTAAAAATGACAGCAGAGTTGTTTTTCTTATTCATTGATGTTTTAATTATTTTGTCACTGTTTGGAATCAACATAATATAGAATAACATGCTTTAGGTAGATCTAAATCATTTAGAATTTTGGCCGGTAAAAGATATGCTTGGCCGGTAGATTTTCATCATCTACCGGCCAACTTGGCCGGTGAGTAAAAAATTTAATTTCGGACCCTGCTTACAACAGATGAGCAAAATATCAAACACGCCAAAAATCCATGCGAACTCATGGTTGCTGATGTGTAGCTGGTCACGTGGTGTTAATCGCGTATCGTTACCCCCTGTGTACTACACAACGCTCAGCGCAAAATTCGCCCTGATCTTATAGGTTCTCGCACAAGGGGAAAATTGATTTAAAAAAGTGGAAAAGTCGCAGTGTATGCCTAGCTTAACAGGGTAAAAGGTTATCATGAATTAGACTTTTTTTGATAAGTTGGGTTTTATCTTTTGACCTTGTGTCGGTGTACTTAACAATAAACAGACTACCGAAAGGAGGCAGGTTTATGAAGGTCTCCAGTCAAAGGAAGAAAAATATTTTCGTTTTGGTGATGGTGACCTGAAAGCATTTTATTATCTTCTATAGATACTTACTAAATCAGATAATGTAAAAGATGTTTCTTCTACACTATCAAATGTTTTATTCATGATTTACTCATGACCTAAATAAAACCTGGGGCTGATCCAGATGACCTAAATAGTTTTAGTCCCATTTCTAGTCCCCCTTTTCTTTCAACAATCCTGGAGAAAACTAGTTTCACAGCTCCATTCACATTTAACTCGCAATAATCTATTCGAACAGTTTCAGTCAGGTTTCCGTCCTCATCACAGTACAGAAACTGTCCTCATCAAAATACCCCTAACAATTTGCTAATGGCAGCTGATTATGGAGTAATTTCCATTCTGGTTCTTTTGGATTTTAGTGCTGCTTTAGATACAGTCTCTCACTCCACTCTGTTGGCTAGGTTGGCATCTACTCTTATTTCTCTGACAGGACTTGCATCATTCAAATGAAGACTTTTGCTTCCTCTCCATCTGGTGTCGCTTCAGGGGTTTCTCAAGGTTCAGTACTTGGCCCTCTTCTTTTTATAGTTTATCTGCTTCTCCTCTGGGCTATTTTTAGGAATTTCAAGCTCCAATTTCATTGTTATGCTGATGTTACTCATCTTTATGTTTCCACCTCTCCGTCTACTCTTCTTCCTCCAGTAGCTCTCACTGAATGTCTGGCAGAACTCAGGTCATGGTTTTCCAAGAACTTCCTATGACTTAACCCTAAGAAAACTGAGGTGCTTCTCATGGGTATGAAATCTGCTCTGGGGAAGGCTGGCAGCTTCTCTTTAGTCTTTGAGAATGCCACTGTTTCCTGTGTGGATCAGGTTAAGAGCCTTGGTGTTCTGTTGGACAGTACTCTGTCGTTTCAGCCTCATACCAATTCAATTTCAACCAAAGTATTGTTGAGTTACCGCCATCAAAAATCAAGTATCATTAAAGTAGTAGTAACAAGAAATATTTACTGGTACCTAGGGATGTCCCGATACAACTAATTTCACTTCCGATACGATACTGATATTGCATCCTTCAGTATTGACAGATACCAATATCAATCCGATACGGTATCGGCACAAATCATACATACTTTTACCTACCTCGTAGTGATATTACCCAATCGGAAAACAAGAGCCAGCAACAGTAAGTATGAAAAAAATGACAAATCTTTTTTAACCATTGGTTGCAAAAATGCAGGTGTGGAAACTTAAACCGCCTGAGCACCATTGGCAGTAAAATTTCTCATTGTGCAGTAAATAATTGAGGACTTACCACCCGGGTGGCGCCCAAGTTTTGTTTGTCATTTATACCGATGTTCACCTCCCCCTGTGTTCACGCATTTGGGATACATCATGGCCGCGCCCTAGGGGTGCAACCAATGGATCATCATTAATCGGCGATCCTTTCAGATCTCTCTCTACAATTTGACACCCACACAGTTTGCAGATCGGCCGTGTGGAGGGTGGAGGCACTACCTGTTCCATGCAAAGGAGAAACGCACAGTGGTGGTCAGGGCGGAGGAGGAGAGGAGCTTGAAAAACTTCCTGCATCGTTTAGGTCGCATGTATGGGAGCATTTAGGCTCCCCTGTAAAACACAATGATGATACAAATGGCAAAAATATACACACACATGCGCCTCCAGTCTGACGGTGCGATACAGCGCCGCACACACCTACCTCTGGTTGCTGTGAAAGGAGGGAGGGTATGGTACGTCCCGTGAAACATGCCTTGGAAATTTCATAAACGTCGTGGGACCTGTAACTATTGTTGGGGATAAGTCTGTAAAAGAGGACAAAAGAAAAATAAACAGCGCATTAGAAGGGTGAGGAGATGAACGAAAGCTGAACATGATTGGATAGTGTGTTTTAGTAAGGCAAACCGTTTTAACATTTAATCAGCAATTAGACCCCTCTGTAACTCTTGCTTTTATAGCAAGTTTCAAATTGAGCAGAAAATTTTGCAAAGCTGATAGTGTTTGTGTAGGATGTTTACAGTGCACTTATTGCACTTTTTTCTTTATTTTCAAAATGTTTATTTGGAAACCTTATTTAGTTGCATCTACACGAACAAGGTTTTACTGAATTTATCTTTATCAGATACACATTGTTTTTTGATAGTGTTATTTTATTTATTTATTTCAAATATTTGAAAACCTTACTTTCTTGATGCTACAAGGGTCAGTGAACTTAATTTCTGGTGATCGGATGAAGCAGCCCTCTGTATTTTATTTGGATTGGTAGTATGGAAGTTTACCCTTTTATTTCATGTGTGACACTTAAAAACTGTGTTACTGTCTAGTGGTGATTGGACTCTGGGCTGTTCAGTTTATATGACAGGGTTGTTTCTTTGATTGTGTATATTGCACTAGTATCGTGTAACCCTATCTTGAAATTTAATAAATATGCATTTGAAACATTACAGTTGCATATTTATTTTTCAGGATGGACATTTTGTGACCTCATACTTATCTTAAGTTACCTTTTGAGACATGGTGCTATTGGGCTCCTACCCATAGAGCTTTCTCAAGTACAAATACATGATTGTAGAGAAGAGTTTATTATAGCCTCATAAAATCAACCATAATGATAATAATAATGATTTTAAAGCAAACAGACCTCTAGTATCAGAATAATATCGGTATCGGCAGATATCTAAATCCAGGTATTGGAATCGGATGTCAGTAAAAAATTGATCGGTGCATCCCTAGTACAACGTCCACATCACTGCAGATGCAGCACCAATCCACTTATCGATCCCATGCTCCAGCTTTCTCTCACTCGTGAACAAGACCCCGAGATACTTAAACTCCTCCACTTGGGGCAGGATCTCATCCCTGACCCGGAGAAGGCATTCTACCCTTTTCTGACTCAAGTCCCTCCGTCTGTTCTTATTGTAATAAATTTTTTTGTCAATCACGTTGAACGATCAGCTAACCAAATACATGATTTAATAACAAACTTGAGATTTTAGGAGGAATGCAGAGAAGCACTCTGACAGACAGGACGAGAGCCTTAGGATAAACATGAGGGAGAGGAGAGGAGATGTGTCTGTGTTCTACGAGTGCCGGAAGAATTATATTATAAGAAGTATATTAAAATTATATTCAGATGTGTTTTCCAAGACAAAATTTGAAAATATTAACACCTTTTCCAAAACAGAAAAAAACATTCCATGTTGGTTTTTAGTGTAAAATAGAAAATAAATGATAAACAGATTATCTGGTGCAGTTTTTCTGGAATGAGGAAAGATCTGTAAAAGCAAACTGAAGTAGTGTGATGCCTTAGCCTGGCAAGCCAGACTAAATAAATATATCTGTCAGGAAACGTTCCAGGGATGGCTCTCGGTCATGGGGCTGTTTCTACCTTTGTCTTTCAAACGATCACTGCATGCTACTGGACAGTAAACAATGGGACATACTCACTGCAACGCATGTCAGTCAAATAGGCAGTCCACTGTTGAAGAAGGCAAAAGTACATACTTTTTCTAAAAATAAGACTTAAACACATCTATCTGCTCCTGATTCTAATAAAGCCCGAGTTCAAATAGTCCAAAATTGATGTAAAAGTCGTTCCAAATAAGCTGTAGCCATCTTGTTAACCTACGTCGCATCATCCCACCCACCAAACCAATAGAGCACCTTGATTGGCCCACAAAGCCAAAAGAGCGCTGTAATTGATGCACCATTGTGGAACAATCACAGTGCTCTATGGGTTTGAAACCCCAATAGAGAGCTGTGATTGGTCCCACCAGAATGCAGCTGGGGGCCATGGGGCATTCCTAGCCTGCGGCCATAAACAGATCTTTGTGGTTGTTCAATGTTTATTTTCTTTAAGTAAGAGCTATTCTGAGGTCTCATTATTTTCCAAACATCTTTATTTGGAACAGATTAAAATAAAATGAGATTTATTTTTTATCACATTAATCTACATTTTCTTTTATCCTGTCCAGAACCTCCACAGCATCAAGTTTGGGAAAAAGAGAAGGTTCTGACTGACCAGCAGCTCTTTAACCAGCAGTCGACCTCCAGTTTGGACCAGGAGGAACCAGAACCTCCACTGATCAAGAAAGTCCAGCAGGAACTCTGTAGCCAACAGCATGAAGGGCAGTTCCTTCTGAAGCAGGAAAATGTTAACTTCATGGAGACTTCTTCTGAAGAAACAGACTGCCATGAACCAGAACCAAACAGGACCCAACCCTTGTGTCAGAGTTCTACAGAAGCTGAGAATCAAGATCAGGGTGGATGCAGGAAAAAAAACTCCGAATCAAAGGGCAATGAAGAACTGACACGTAACAAAAGACGTCAAAAAACCAATCATCATAGAGACAGTGTAAATGGTCAAAAGCTTAAAAGGCAAAAGAGGGCTCACAGAGGTGAAAGGCCATTTTCGTGTGAGCTCTGTGGAAACTATTTCAGTCACAAGTGGTATTTAAATGTTCACATGAGAACTCACACAGGTGAGAAGCCATATTCATGTAAAACTTGTGGTAAATGTTTTAGTCTCAGTGGTAACTTGACTACACACATGAGAACTCACACAGGTGAGAAGCCCTATTCATGCAAAACTTGTGGTAAATGTTTTAGTCTCAGTGGTAACTTGACTACACACATGAGAACTCACACAGGTGAGAAGCCATATTCATGTAAAACTTGTGGTAAATGTTTTAGAGACAGTTGTAGTTTGACTACACACATGAGAACTCACACAGGTGAGAAGCCATATCCATGTAAAACTTGTGGTAAATGTTTTAGTGAGAGTAGTGCCTTGACTACACACATGAGAACTCACACAGGTGAGAAGCCATATCCATGTAAAACTTGTGGTAAATGTTTTAGTGAGAGTAGTGCCTTGACTACACACATGAGAACTCACACAGGTGAGAAGCCATATCCATGTAAAACTTGTGGTAAATGTTTTAGTGAGAGTAGTCACTTAACTACACACATGAGAACTCACACAGGTGAGAAGCCATATTCATGTAAAACTTGTGGTAAATGTTTTAGTCTCAGTGGTAACTTGACTACACACATGAGAACTCACACAGGTGAGAAGCCATATCCATGTAAAACTTGTGGTAAATGTTTTATTCAGAGTTTTTCCTTGACTAAACACATGAGAACTCACACAGGTGAGAAGCCATATCCATGTAAAACTTGTGGTAAATGTTTTAGAGACAGTGGTCACTTGACTACACACATGAGAACTCACACAGGTGAGAAGCCATATCCATGTAAAACTTGTGGTAAATGTTTTAGTGTCAGTGGTGCCTTGACTACACACATGAGAACTCACACAGGTGAGAAGCCATATCCATGTAAAACTTGTGGTAAATGTTTTAGTGAGAGTAGTCACTTAACTACACACATGAGAACTCACACAGGTGAGAAGCCATTTCAATATAAAAGTTGTAGTAAATGTTTCACACAGCGTGTTGCTTTGACTAAACACATGAGAACTCAACACATGTGAAATGTCTTTTCCATGTTTGTTCTGTAGGAGATTCAACCAGACATTTTCTTTCAACTTCTTATATGAAAATTCACACTTGAGATTTTATTCACAAGTGTGCTTTTATGAAAGCTTTTTCTACATTAAAATTTAGTCGAGGTTTTGTTTTTTTATACATTTTTTAAAGTTTATTTTACAGTAAATCTCTTGGGGTACAATATGAATGAATGCCTTGTGAGAAAATTTCTGTAGAAAAATCTCTCACTCTCCTGTTTCAAGAAGTAAAGGTTAGTCAGAAGAGTGGGTGGAAAATGGCAGGATTTGGAGTCTGACTCATTAATAATCATGATGTAGGAACATCTTGCCTCTGACTGACTAACAGCAATGTGGCTGTCTCGCTGCTCCCATTTGTAACAATGCAGTGTAATTTGTGTGAAGGTTTCATTAGTATACATTAAGGACATATCAGCTGTAATGTCCATTTTTGGTTTGGGCTTTTATAAATAGCTAATTTTTGTTGAGTTTTTGCTTTCCCTCCCAAATCATCATGTTCGTGAGACTGTGAGATCAGTAGGGTGTGTATTTGTGGGAGATGCAGTCTCCCTGAGGTGATTGATCTGGTGAGATTAAAATCCAAATTACTTATTGGGCATAAATATGTATGTGTACACAGATTGGGTAACTTGGAGTTAGAGGGGTGGTCCCCTTTGGTAATTTGGAGTGTTGCATCCTTGTATCAGTCAGCGAAGGGCGGACCCTTCAGAGGATTGTAAGGAAAATCCTCCCGCTGACTTCAGTGTATAGGGTTAGGGTTAACCCTAACCCTAACAGTGTATACACGTCGGAAAAGAATAGAAACACTGGGAACACGATGTTTTTCCAAGGTGATTTAGCATTTTCTGACCTAAAATTAATGCAGAAAAGCTTATGGGGAGATGTCTTCATAGTAGCATGGTCGACCAGCTGCATAGAACACTAATCCTTAGATTGTCAGAAAATATGTGTTATTTGTTGGAAAATATGTGTTCTTTTATTTATGCTGAGGATTTTATTTTGAAGGTTTCCTGTGGTCTTTGTAAATTGAAACCATCCTCGTTCCATATGACTAAGTGTGTCTATTTAAAGGGTGAAGCTTTATTTTATGTTTTCAGTTATTGAGTTCTTGCTGGTTATCAGACTCCTAGCAATTCTTTATTTCAACATTATAGAATATATTTAGGTGCTGTATTCATGACCACAGCCTAAAGCAGACATGAAACTGACTAGCAGTTCTCCATCAAACATTTTAGTTGTCATCTCTGGCATTACAATTTAGAAAACGGAGGGAGGATGCACAAGCATAACAACAGAAAGCAAAATTTGTTATTAAGGAGGAAGCAGTTGCTGGTAAGCCTCTGAGCCGTGCAGCACTTGTTCCTATTTTGAATGAAACGCGCTTCATTACAAAAACCAAACTACTCTTAAATCTTGAGCTGATTTTTTCTTTAACCGGTTTTATTGGTTTCTGCCCTTGTGTGTTTGTTTTTGTCTTTCTTTTCCCTTTGAACCCTCGTTCATCGTTTGTGACATCTGTCCTCTCAGCGGTTCCCAAACTTATTTAGACGCGCACCCCCTTCTATGTACCAACCATGTCGACGCACCCCCCAGCCCCCACATCAGGGCATGGCTCTATATTTAGAGTGCCTAGGTAGCACATAAAAAATGCAATTTAACGGTTTTCTTAAAGCAGGAATGTTTAACCTGTGCGGCCAGAGCTCTCTCCTTCTTTAATACGTCATCCCAAAATAGAAACTAATATCTTAATTTGACCTGGAATGAAAAATGTTGTTATAAAACCTCTTAAAAGTTTTTATCACGGAGGAGGCAGCGCTCATTTCTGCCTTCAGCCTGACGGTGCGCCGGAGTTGGCGCAGCGTACGCTTATTGAGTGAATGTAGGATCTGCTCCATCACTGACATTCCAGGCTAACAAGGAGTTACGCTCTCGTGTCAGCAACTAACAGCAAGCTGCAAAGAAATATGCAGATGCAAAACGTGGTGCAAGAGTGCCAAACATCAGGGAAGGAAGCTTTGTGAGTGTATGGAAGCTAGGTACACCTGCCACCAAGTAACTGTACGACCTATCATTGAGGGAAGGCGCTAATATAAATAGGGCCTGAGGTGGCGCTACAGCGATCTTTTACTTTGGCTCAAACTTCCGCTTCTTGTGTGAAGCGCCATTGTGTACGGGACTCCGGCGTGTCGGACTGTGAGTACTATCTAAAAACTTTATGGGTGCTCAGACTCCTATGTGGCTTTGCAGGAGGCTTTCTTTTCACGCCGCCAACAGGAAGAGGAGACATTACAGGAATTTTCCCTAGCTTTAATGGCCCTCATGGCTGCAGTGCAGCAGCAGGCCCCCAGCGAAATGGTAAATGCTGAGGTGTTGCTATGAGACCAGTTCATAGAATATGTGGCAGATGGGTCCTTGCGCCTTGCATTGAAGCAGTTTGTGCGTGGGAGGCCTTCGGCTACACTATTAGAAGTCCGAGCAGAGGCCATTCGGTGGGAGCGGGAGGGGATATCGGGAGGGCCTAGAGGCCGTGCCCACTCCATGCCCTCAGTGTTAGGTCTCCAGTATGGTGTGCAGTGTCCCCCCACTGCAGGTGGCCCTGGTTTCTTCCCAGCTGCTGAGTTGAGTGAGATAAAGGAGATGCTAAAACTCCAACAAGATCAAATAAATAAACTTGCTCAAGATGTTTCTTCGCTGCAGGGTACACGAAAAAAACCTCGCCCCACTAATCACGGCCCCATAATATGTCAACGGTGTCAGCAAGCAGGGCATTATGCCAGTGACTGCGATGGGGTTAGAGTCTCACGTCCCCAGCCCACCCAGCCACCACGTCCTACTGCAAGGCAATCGGAAAACTAGAGCCCGCCGAACGGCCGAGCCACAGTTCGGGGGGTATAGTTAGTGACTCACAACTGGTTGCTAGTCAGGGAGAAGCCTCGAAGTTGGTGTCAGATTGCCCCCATGTGGAGGTACTAATGGGAGGCGTAAATGTACCATGTTTGTTTGATACCGGTTCTATGGTATCTACGGTCACCGAGGGCTTTTTCCGGCAGCATTTTGAGCCTTGGGGGATGGACCAACTGCAGTTCTGTAACTGGTTGCAGCTCAAGGCAGCCAATGGGTTGGCTATCCCTTATATTGGCTACCTGGAGCTTACTGTAGAGTTATGTGGTAGATCACTAACAAATTGTGGTGTGTTGGTGGTCAAAGACCCCCCGAGTGGTACCTCTGGTTTTCCTGGCATTGTGGGGATGAATATCATCCGCAAGTGCTACAGCGAATGTTTTGGCCAGCATGGGATGGCTTTGTTTGAGCAACCCCCTGTGTCAGGGGCCCCTGAGCCTGTTGTCCAGGCATTGCAGAGGTGTCACCAGAGTAAGGGAGACATTCCTCAACAAACCTCGGGAGTAGTTAAGGTGCTTGGCCGATGGGCACGTGGCCACCTCGTGCTCGGAACAGTTCACCGGTTTACCTGCGTTGTTTGAGCCCCTAGTGTCTGGCCTCCCTGCCGGGTTACTCACCTCTCCATCTTTGGTGCAAGCACAGAAAGGTAAAGTTTATGTCCCGATTATTAACGTTGGCAACACGGATGTTTGGCTGTACCCGCGCACTAAGGTTGGAACCCTGATGAGGGTTTTGGTTACTAGTTCGCCAGCTGGCTTAATGGGGATACCATCTGGGTCAGCTGTTGTCTCATCTCAGGCGGTCTCGGAGTCGGTAGTGACTCAGCTGCAGGCTCTGGAGCTACCGGCTTTGACAGCAGAGGATGGGAATAGTGTGAGGTCTCTGCTGTTAAAATACTGTATGCTTCTGTTTTTTCAGAACGTGATGGAGACCTGAGGTGCACAAAGCTGATCTCCCATGATATTCCACTCATGGACGAGGTCCCTGTCCGGCAGCGCTTTAGGCGCATTCCACCGTCAGACTATGAGGTGGTCAGGGAGCATATTAACAACCTGCTGGAGGCCCAGGTAATCCGGGAGAGCAGCAGTCCATATGCTTCCCCCATAGTGCTGGTACGGAAGAAGGATGGGAGTCTGCGCATGTGTGTGGACTACAGGCACCTAAACAGCAAAACCAGAAAGGAAGCCTTCCCCCTCCCTCGTATCGAGGAGTCGCTCGATGCGTTGAGTGGTGCTCGCTGGTTTTCCACTTTAGATGTAGCCAGTGGCTACAACCAGGTACTTGTTACTGAAACAGATCAGCCCAAAACAGCTTTTTGTACCCCTTTTGGGTTGTTTGAATGGAACCGTATGCCTTTTGGTCTTTGTAAGGCCCCCAGCACCTTCCAACGGCTAATGCAAAGACTCTTTGGGGACCAACGGTGCCAGTCCTTATTGTTATATTTGAATGACATTGTTGTTTACTCTTCCACCATCAAGCAACACCTGGACAGGCTGGAGATGGTGCTGGAGCGGCTGCAAAGAGAGGGGCTTAAGGCAAAGCTGCCCAAGTGCACTTTCTTTCGACAGGAGGTGCAGTACTTAGGGCATGTGATTTCGGACAAGGGTGTTTCAACAGATCCTTCTAAGGTTGAAGTGGTGGCAAACTGGCCTATCCCTGTGACGGTGTCAGATCTGCGGTCATTCCTAGGATTTGCCAGCTATTACCGACGGTTCGTGGAGGGGTTTGCCAAGTTGGCTGCCCCCCTTCACAGGCTGTTGCGGAGCTGGGGAGTGCAAAGTCTGGCCGGAGGCAAGGGCAGAAGATTGGCGAGTGCTGGACCAGGTTGTGTAATGACAGCTTTGACGCTTTAAAGGGTCGATTGGTCACTGCACCGGTGCTAGCCTATGCCGACTTCTCTCTCCCTTTTATTTTGGAGGTGGACGCTAGTTATGGTGGTTTAGGCGCAGTACTATCTCAGGAGAAGCAAGGGCAGGTGAGGCCTGTAGCCTACGCTAGCAGAGGGTTGCAGCCCCCTGAGCGCAACATGGCCAACTATAGCTCCATGAAGTTGGAGTTCTTGGCACTCAAGTGGGCAATGACTGAAAAGTTTAGGGAGTATTTGCTGGGCCATCGGTGTATTGTCTACACAGATAATAACCTGCTAAGCCACCTGTCATCTGCCAAGTTGGGGGCCACTGAGCAGCGTTGGGCTGCCCAGTTGGCTTCCTTTGACTTTGAAATAAAGTACCGCCCGGGGAGGAGCAACAGAAACGCAGATGCGTTGTCTAAACAAAATCCACCCGGCAGACAAGAGCTAGCTTCAATGCTCCCAGGAACACCCCTCCCAACGCCACTGCAGCAGGTTTTACAGGCTGACCAGTCTGAGGTGGCTCCGGCTGCTGTCTTTGCATTGCCTCATTTTAATCAGGCTGACCTTTGTGTTTTACAGCAAGCTGATCCAGTCCTTAGTGAAATCAGGGCATTTTGGATAGAAAAGAGACATCCCACCCGTGAGGAAAGACTCCAGTTGTCTCCGGCTGCATTGGTCCTCCTCAAACAGTGGGACCGGTTGGTGGAGAAGGATGGGGTCCTGTACCGGCAGATCTGGCTCCCCCGGGAGGCTGAGGGGGTGTTGCAGATAGTGTTGCCTGCCACCCTGAGGGAGGAAGTGCTTACTGAACTTCATTAGAAGCATGGCCACCAAGGGGTTGAGAGGACACTGCAGCTGCTCAGACACCGATGCTTCTGGCCTAACATGACTGGTGATGTGGAGCAGTGGTGCAGTAAGTTTGAGAGATGTCAGGTTGCCAAGGATACCCAGCGGGGGCCTCAGGCCTACATGGGACATTTGTTGGCCTCTCGGCCAAACGAGGTTTTGGCCCTAGATTACACTGTGCTGGAGCCCTCTGGTGACAGGTGTAAGAACGTCCTGGTGATGACA